CTAGGTGAGAGGTAAAGAGGATCTGAAAGTGGTAGCTCTGTGAGTGAAAAGAAAGGAAGTCTGGTTGTGAGAAGTGTTTTGGAGGAAGAAATGGCAAGATAGAGCAGCTGATTGGTTATGGCAGGGAAGTGAGAGTGGGGAGTTAAAGAAGTGCTGAGGTTAGGATAAGAACCTGGGAAAATGAAAGGGTGCTGATACCTTCAGCAGAAATGTGGAATTTGAAAGAGGGGATAGTTTAGGAGGAATGAGTTCAGTTTTGAACATGGTTAGGTTAAAGATTTCTCTAGGACATCTGGTTTGAAATGTCCAGTGGGCAATTGGTGATGCCAGACTGAAGTTTAGGGGAGACACTGGGGCTGGCTATGTGGTTCTGTGGATCATTTACAGAGAGATGATAGATAAACTCATGGTTAACTGATACCAAGAGAAAAAGTGTAGAGGGAGAAGAAAAGAGGACCTGAGAAAGAACCTTTTGGAGGACCTACAGTTAGGGGGTCTGATATAAGATGATGAGCCAGCAAAGGAGACTAAGAAAGGTATCTTTGAATAAATCTTAAGTTTAATGATTTTGACATATGCATGAGCAGTGCTTCAGAGGGATTACTTTAAGACAGCATTGTCCTCTACTGGATTAAATGCCTTTAAAAAAAGTTAAGCATCATGTGACCTCATCTTCTCTAAACTTTTTTAGTCAATTGTGTGACTGTAAAGATGTGGTTTCTTGTATAATATCATAGAATTTTAATTTGAGGTAGAAGTGATATTAGAAGTAAGTCATCTATAAGATGGCAGATTAGGGGCAGACCCAGCTGAACTCTCCCAGTATTCCCCACAAAACTACTTTAAAATAATGCCTCAACTCAAATTTTCTAGCCACAGAGCTAACAAAAAGTCAGGGTAAGATATTTTTCTGGCATAAGAAAACTTAAGAGGTAGGCAGGAGAAATCTATAAAACTGATGTGGAGGTTTCTCTGGAGGCCACCTGTGAGGTAGCGGCAACAGTGACTAGGAGCAGCAGCAGCAGCAGCAGCTTCAGGAGCCTTCAGTCCAGAGATGGTGAGGGTGTCAGACAATTACTCAGAAATAGATTATAGGGGAACCTTTGCTAGCACTGGGTATAGCTGGTGCTGATGGGCAAATCTATTCTCTTATGCGGTTCTGGGTCATAGTTGTAGGGTGGAGAGAAGTGCTGGTGGTTGGTCACAAGGGAGCAGGAGCCCTGGTCATAGTACCAAAGCAGAGAGGTATGCTAGCCCTTGTGGCTGCAGAGGACTTGGGGCCCGTCTTTTTATGGTAAAGACCAGAGCTTGACCAGGAAAGCTTGACCATACCTCTCCCAGGATCATGCCATCTTGGAAGCAACGAAAGTAGAGACCCCTCTAGAATAAGCTCTGAAAACAGCAGCACCAAAAAACCCTAAATCTTGGGATGGTGCTTTCCTACACCTGGGTGTGGAGAATCCAGTTTTAATATTAAGTTCATAGTCAAGAAATAGGCTGGAAAAATGAGCAAACAACAACAACAAAGAAGAACTTGATCATTAAAAACTATTAAGGTGGCAGGGAATATACCAAGACATAAACTCAAAGCACACAGTGATGTGAAAACTGCTACCAAAAAAACCTCAAAGAAAAATGCTAATTGGATTCAAGGCCAACAAGAATTCCTGGAAGAGTTAAAGAGATAAGAGTGGTAGAGGAAAAATTGGGAAAAGAAATGTGAGTGATACAAGAAAATTATGAAAAGCACAAAAAATACTGAAGAAAGAAACACCCTAAAAAACCAGAATTGGCCTAATAGTAAAAGAGGCATAAAAATTCACTGAAGAAAAGAACTTAAAAAGCAAGAATTTGCCAAATGAAAAAAAAGAGATACAGACTCTCCCTTAAAAAAAAAAATGGCTTAAAAATTAGAATTGGGCAAGTAGAAGCTACTGACTCTGTGAGACATCAAGAAGCAATCAAAGTTAACGGAATGGAAAAACAGAAGAAAATGTGAAATATCTCATTGGAAAAACAACTGACTTGGAAAATAGATCAAGGAGAGATGATTTAAGAATTATTGGACTACCTGAAAGCCATGGTCAAAAAAAGAGCCTAGACATTATCTTTCAAGAAATTATCAAGGAAAACTGCCCTCATATCTTAGATCCATAGGGCAAAATAGAAATGGAAAGAATTTGCTGATCATGTCCTGAAAGAGATCCTAAAATGAAAACTCCCAAGAATATTATAGCCAAATTCCAGAGCTGCTGGGTCAAAGAGAAAATACTTCAAGCAGCTGGAAAGAAGCCATTCGAATATCACGGAACCCAGACAGGATCACACAAGATTTAGCAGCTTCCCTGTTAAAAGAGCAGAGGGCTTGGAATATGATATTCTGGAAAGCAAAGGAGATAGGATTACAACCAAGAATCACTCAGCAAAATCGAATGTAATTTTTCAGGGTGAAAATGGATATTTAATGAAATAAAGGACTTTCAGTCATTCCTGATGAAAAGGTCAGAGCTGAATAGAAAATTTTTGACTTTCAAATATTTTGACTTTCAAATATTTTGACTTTCAAATACAAGATTCAAGAGAAGCATAAAAAGATAAACATGAAAGAGTGATCACAAAGGACTCAGCAAAGTTAAACTATTTATATTCCTATATGGCAAGATGATACATGTAACTCCTAAGAACTTTATTGGGGCAGTTAGGAGGAGGTTACATATACCCAGGCATGGGTGTGAGTCAGTTGTGTTAGAATGCATGCCAGAAAAAATGAAGGAGTGAGAAAGAAGGATGCAATGGGAGAAGACGGGGAGAAATAGAATGGGGAAAATTTTGTCACATAAAAGAGGTGCATAAGGAAGAGCTTTTACAAAGGAGGAGCAAATGAGGGGGTATGGCAGGCAATGCTTGAACCTCATTCTCCTTAAAATTTGTTTAAGAAGTAAGACTATCCAGACTCAGGTTGTGTATAGAAATGGAACTTGGTGAATAGGGGAAATAGGAGGGGAAGGGGAACAGAGAACATGGAGGGATGATAAAGGAGAGGGTTGATTAAGGGAGGCAGTGGTTAAAGCAAAATAGACTATTGAGGAGGGACAAGAGAGAGAAAGAAGATAATAGGATGGAGGGAAATATTCACTTAATAATCATAATTGTGAATGTTTATGGAATTAGCCCATCCATAAAATGGAAGCCGAAGAATGGATTAGAAACTAAAATCCAACAATATGTTGTTTACAAGAGACACACTTGAAACAGAAAGGCACACATAGTTAAAATAAAAGGCTGGGACAGAATCTAATATGCATTGGCTGAAGTAAAAAAAAAAACAAGGGTAGCAATCATGATCTCAGCAAAAATAGACCTAATTAAAAGAGACAATCAGGGAAACAATGTTTTGTTAAAAGGTACCACAGATGGTGAAGTAATCAAAAAATTTAACAACAAGTTTCTCTGATTAAGGCCTCATTTTTCAAATATATAGGGAGCTGAGTCAGATTTATAAAATTAAAATATTCCCAGTTGATCAATGGTCATATGGTCAAAGGGTAGGAATAGGCAGTTTTCACAAGAAGAAATCAAAGCTATCTATAGTCATTTAAAAATGCTCTAATCAATTTTGTATAGAGAAAGGCAAATTAAAACAACTCTGAAGTACTATGTCACACTTACTAGAAGTGATAAATGCTGGAGAGGATGAAGTAAAATAGGTACATTAATGAATTGTTGGTGGAGTTGTGAAGTGGTCCAGCCATTCTGGGTTACAATTTGGAACTAATCCCAAAGGGCTAGAAAGGCTTTTGATCCAGCAGTACCACGTCTGTGTTAGTATCCCAAAGAGATCAAAGAAAAAGCAAAAGCACCTATATGTACAAAAATATTTGTAGCTGCTCTTTTTGTGGTGGCAAAGAATTGGAAATTGAGGGAATGCTCATCCATTGGGGAATGGCTGAACAAAGTTGTAGCATATGATTGTGACAGAGTACTGTTGTTATATAAGAAATAATGAGGGGGGTGGTTTCAGAAAAACGTTGGCAAGACCTAAGTGAAGAGGGACAGCTAGGTGGTGCAGTGGGATAGAGCATGGCCCTGGAGTCAGGAGGACTTGAGTTCAAAGCCAGCCTCAGACACATAACGCTCACTAGCTGTGTGACTCTGGGCAAGTCACTTAACCCCAATTGCCTCACCCCCCCCCCCCAAAAAAGAGAGACCTATATGAACTGATGCAAAGTGAAGTGAGAGGGACTGGGAGATCATTGTGCACAGTAACAGCAATATTGTAATGATGATCAACTGTAAAAGACTTGGCTACTCTGATTAATACAATGATCCAAAAAATTCCAAAGAACTCCTGATGAAAAAATGCTGTTCATCTCTGGAGAGAGAACTGATGAATTCTGAGTGTAAATTGAAGTGTGATTTTCTCAATTTTCCTTATTTTTCTTGTTCTTTTTGGAAATATGGCTAATATGAAAATATGTTTTGCATGATTTCACATGTGTAATTGATATCATATTGCTTGCCTTCTCATTGGATGTTGGAAGTTGTGAGAGGGAGGCAGAGATTTTGGAACTCAATTTAAAAAGAAAAGAATGTTAAAAATAAATAATAAAGTAAAAAAAAAATTGAACCTGGGGGGTAAAAAGTCATCTAGTTTAATCTCCTCCTTTTAAAGATGAGAGAACTGAGGGGTCAAAGGCATTGTGACTAAGCAGTAAGTGGCACAGCTGGGATTTGAACTTGTCTTAATATTTTTCCTCAAAAGCAAAACCATATAATTAAATAGCTAAGAAAAGTAGTGCAGAGAAAACTTTTCCAGTACATATAGTATCATACTTTCCCACAAATAACTACATTGCCGGTGGGAAGGGGGAGACACACAGGGAGCACACTTGTACGATATGAATATGGCTAGGGTTACCTAGCCAAGGTGAATCAAACTCCAATGGCTGCATCCATGCTGGAACTTTTCTCCATTTTTTCTTATTCTTGCTTCCCTTCAGAGCTGCTGATGTCTTCTGTTGAAGTTGTTTGGTGACCTGTTCTCTCTGCTGAGCTGGACCCCCAGGTCCTCATACTCCAGACCTGCCACTCTGCACTGCACCTCATTGCCTGGTTTGTGAAAGCCTTGCATGTTCCCGCTTCATGTTTTCATTGATGATAACCTTAATACCTATGTAAATTATTCTCGTAAAGATTTTACATAGATGAGAAAGACCATTTTTAATTCTTTTTGCTTAATAGAAAGTTCATTTTTTTAAAAAAAAATCATTTTTCTTCACTGATTCTGTATGACTAGCAGTTATAGAATACCACAGTCTCCAAAGAATTGAAGTTGTCACCCAAAAGGAAAAAGCACATTTAAAGCATGAGTACACTGTGGCACAAAAGGATATCATCAGAGAAGCATGACTGACTGGAAAAGGAGGTGATCTGGACATGTAGTGAGAATGAGTGATAACTAATGGGCCATTACCATCCTCCGTTGGTATCCATGAAAATTCAGGATCATTGGGTTATAGAGTCCTTCATCCAGTTGGGGCCCCTCTATGGAGAACTTATAGGTTATCGTGAACAAGAGTTGAACAGGTTGGAAAGGTATAGACTGCTTTAGAGCTACGTTAGTGATGTCAAACTCAAATAGAAACAGATCTCTGCAGCTGTATATTGACTTAGAAAACCACAAATTAACATTATCTATGTTTTATTGTATTTGTATTTTGTTAAAATTTTCAAATTACATTTTAATCTAGTTCTGCCACACTTGGGAGACCATGAGTTTGATACCTTCTCATTAAAGAAAGTATTCATGAAATATAGGCATGAGTAGTCTATAAGCCTTTGACTTTATTCTTACTCCCGATCCAACTTCTGAAACAAGCAAAAATACGTATTTAGTTTAAACAATTTTTATGTATAACTGGTGGCATATAATTTATTATTGATTTTTATATACTATTTGTCGTCATTGCCATTAAAAGTTTATATTCAGACTCTTGGGCAGCAAATTAGCCCCACCAAGGATGATCTTTCTATTGGAAAACTAAATGTGATTTTCCTCATTTTCATTTATAGGTGTGTTACTTGATGTAAATATGAGACTTTCTTATGTTGGTTTTTTTTTTCATTTTTTTAAACATTGGAACTATGTCTTTAGTTCTGTAGGATCCCAAGGCTTTATTGGTGTCCATTTTATGGTTGTAGCAAGAAAAGATTGGATGTCACTTAACAAAAACAAACCTACAACCTAACATTTTTATAGCAGTTACTATGTGTCAGGTACTGTGTTAAGTGTGTTACAATTATTATTTCATTTGATTCCCACAACAACCCTAGGAGATGGTTGCTATTATTATTTCCATTTTACCGATGAAGAAACAGAGGCAAACAGTTTAACTGACTTGCCCAGGGTCATACAACTAGTAAGTGTCTGAGGCCAAATTTGAAATCAGGTCTTCCTGACTCTAAGCCTGGCAATCTTATTTATTGTGCCACATTAACATATAATATTTTCTGTGGTTAAATCCTTTCTTTGTTTCAAGCAAGTGACTTGCATATCAACTTTTAGCACATAGTTCAAAAGTCTGGAGTCTGGGAGAGTGCTGGTCTGAATAGTAGCAGAAGAAATATATTAAGGTGTTAAGAACAAATAAATTGGATATATAGGAAACAACAAGGTACCCTGAGGGAGAAATAGGAGGGAGCATGTACCAGGCAAGTCATACCTCTACCAGCTCCTTGACTACTATCTCCTCTCAAAAACGGATGGAGATAGTGGCAATAAACTCTGTCAAGCTAAGTACAGAGGCTGACCACTTGGCATTAAATTTTTCTTTTTTGTTGTTATTGTTGGTTCCTTTAATTTTTTTCCTTTTTATTATAAATTGACATGTCATTGTGAACATTTCCTTATACAAAGTACAGAATTCTGTACTTTGTGTAGTTAATTCTGTGATTCTTCATTGTGTACAGCTCTTTTTGGGGGGATATATTTTAACATAGTAGTTCTTTCACTGCCCTACTTACCTGTGTTCCCTTCTATACTTAATTTTGGTCTATTCTGTTTATTTTTTAAATGATTCATTTATACTTTTCACTTTTTTTAGTGTCATTATTATTACTCCCATTCTCCAGTGTTCCTTTGTAATAATTAGTATAGTTATACACAAAAAACTCAAGTTCATATTGGTTATGTTTGAAGATATAATTCTTGTTCTATACCTCTGGTCCATCATTTTTCTCCCAAGAAGTGGGAAGCATGAGTCAGTTTTCTGGAATCATAATTAGTTGTTGTATTGATCATAGTTCTTAAATCTTTCATAGTTTTCCTTTACAGTGTTGTAGTTCTAGAAATTGTTTTCTTAGTTCATGTCACTTTGCATTAGTTGACTTCCATTTGAAGGTGAGAATGGAAATAAACAATTAAAAATATGAATCGGGAATAAAGAAGAGAGAGGCCAAAGATTTGCAGATTATACAAGAGCCTTTTGCCTATTCATCATAATTATTTTCTTCAAGAAAAGATCGAGAAGGGGCTGATCAGGGCAGAGCACCATATGCCAACATAAAAAATGAAATGGATTATATTTTAACTGACAAGGAGTGAGTTATTACAAATGTAGGTTTCATTCCTGAGTCAGCAGTCTTTAGATAGACCGTTGACTTGTTAGAACAAAGATCAAAGCTTTTAAGCTGGAAAAAAAAATGAAAAGGAAAAAAAACTTCATTCTGATCTATTTAAACAAATTGATGGTGAATAAATGGCTATGAGTGAATGAAAGCATACCAATTATAATAATTTTATACAGAAATTTAGCTGACATAAGTCTGTGCTGTACTTAGTCAGCAAAGCGTGTAATATGTGCTATGCTCTGTGCCAAGTGCTAGGGAAAAAAAGGCCTACCTACAAAGAGCTTGCCTTCTAGTGGATGTGGCCCCAAAAAGTGCTTTAATGAACACTTGACTTAATTGTTAAGCAGAGAAAGATGGTAGTTAAGGGCATCACAGATTTGGGATTTGTTTATTTACAAAATGTTACAGATATGAATGATGGAAGATTATGAACAATACTGCTTCAACGTTGGAAAGGGCTGTGGAATGACAAGAACACTAATACACGCTTTGAAATGGACCAACTGTTCTGAAAAACAGTTTGGATCATGTGGAAAAATGATCCAGTTTTGACCTCAAGGAGGCCAAAGACAGTACAAAAAGTCCCACATAAACCAAAATATTTATGTCGTCTGGAAACAAAGTGAGGGCCCATCAATTAGGGAATGGCTGAAAAATTTTTTTTATAATAATGGATATGATAAAGGAATTCTGTTGTGCTGTGAGAAATGACAGAAATGAGGAATTCAGAGAACTAGGGGAAGACTTTTTCTGAATTTATAAAGGAAGCCAAAGAGACCCAATGATCACAATAATGTAAACAACCACACTGAAAAAGTAGCTGAACTCAGATTAATTATAATCACTAGTCTTGGTACCAGAGAACAGATAATGAATCTATCAGCAAACATTTGCTAAATGCCTACCATGCATCATAAACTACTCTGCCTTTGTGTCTTGATGTTAAAGTCATTTTCAATGTCGCCAGGTCCTGACTACAAATCTGGTGCTGTTTCCACTGTACCACCCATGTTCCATTAGTTCAGTTTTCAAGAACTCCATGATGCCTATGTGCTAGAATGGAGAAAAGGGATAGAACTTTGATGGAAACAATAGCAGGATAGGGAAAGTGGTCCAAGTGTGGAGTAAACTTTTCATAAAAAAGTATAATTTAGAATCCTAACAAGACTACACACCCATCTCCCACTTGAAAACAAAAAGAAATTTAAAAATTCTGCAAGAACACATTTACAATGTAAGTAATACTCAACACATTCTTTCCTAGAATAACACACAGTGCCCAAAAAAATAAGTTATTGGAAGACAGAAATGCCCAGTGTACTAATTTCTGATGGAACTGTGAAGCAGTTCAACTGTTAGGGAAAAAAATTTGGAATCATAAGAAAATAATCTTACATTTTTATACTCCTTACACACACCTTAGGAGCATAATGTATATCTGTTTAATTAAAGTCAGTTTGTCCAAATGATCCAAATTTCCATTTCTGTTGCTGCCTATAGGTAACTTTAAAACCAGCCTTTAAATTTAAACACTGGCATGAAGCTATGTAGAATCTGCAGAAAACATAAAAAGGTACTCATTTTCATCATAAATATCAAAGTCAATATTTGGCATGTCACAAGCAACACCTATTCCTCTAAAGCATCACTCACCATTGCCTGTAAATGGCTATAAATCTAACCATTTTCCACTGGGATTACTTGAGATCTTTGGCCTTTTTGTTTCATTTCCAGCCATTAGATAAAACTAAAACTTCAACCTTAGTTCATTTGCAAAATCTGTTACTACCACTCCTATGCCAGAGGAGTTGAATGACTTTGAAAGAAGATAAACTGCCAACCTGCCTTCTCCAACTACAAACTCATGTTTCAGTTGAAAAGGCATCAAGCTATAGTGGACAAAAGAACAAAGAATAGAGATCAAGATCCAGTGTTCCTCTAGGCAAGAATACTACAGTGTTTCTCAATCTTAATATCCGTTACTCAGAAATTCAAAAAAGATCCGTTATTTCATCAATGTAGGTAATCCCTTCAGTGAAGAAGGTCACAACTTAGACACATCTCTCTGTCTAATGTAATTCTTGTAGATACCCTTCCATAAGTTCATCAAAGGGAATCCACCCAAAAGGCTCAGGGGCTTTCCTCCCATTCTGAACATGGTTGTGGGATACTTAGTAATGGAGCACACATAACCTGTATCCATTTGTGGTCCCATCCAGTTCTAGATTTATGATCATATTAAATGATACAAATGAAAGTTGTATGAGCATAGAAAAAAATACCTTTGTCATAACAGATGGCAAAAGATAATATAGAAATAAGAAAGCTAAACTAAATTTTAATTTCTATTCTGTGCTATCCTGCAAGATAGGTTGCTGTTTTTTCCAAGTTTTTTTTTTTAATTGCTTCTTTGGAATACTGTTGTTTCTACACACATTATTGACCACTGTAGACAGTGTAACCTTGTCTCATCTCTGTAGTTT